ACAGGTGTTTACATATAGATACACAGGTAGTTGAAATTGCACCCGTAGTTGAACGTCGGCGTTCAGTTATAGGTATATGCACATGTGGGTTTGACCTAAAAGTGAGCGTGTTGATTAAACGTAAATTTCTAAATGTTGATAAAAGAAAACCATTATTTAATTTAATCTTTACTTTTTAGATATGCGTCAAATCTGTGATTACTATTATTCAGCCACTTGGTGTTGTGATACATAGAAAAAATTGCTTATTTTTAATTATAGTGCACTCCTAACCTAATACTACAGTAAACAATGGGAAACATTTTAAAAAGGAAAGCTATAAAAGCAGTTATATATTTTTGATATATTAAAAAACAATGTACGATTATGTATATTAAATATAAATTATCTATAAATTAAGTTTATTTGATAATTTTTCATTCCTAAATCATAAATCTTTTTCCCATAAAAAGCACGTTCAACTTCAGGTATATAAAATTTGAACACAGGGACACCTTTTTTTTTACATGTTCAGATATAGGTACAGGGAGCTAGATATGAATAATAACTTATTTATCCTTAAACTAAATAGACAATCATTGATTAACGATGTAATCACTTAATCACATAGCCAGTCATTATAGGATTTGAAAATAAACGCATATTCAACTGTTATTTAATTTTTATTCGTCTTGAAAATTCTTAAGGTGCTTGAGTGTTCAGTTATAGGGTCACTTACCTTACCATATCTAAGTATTAAAAACACAAAATTAAAGTATGCGGTGACTTCTAAAAATATTAACCTTTTGTCTCATTGTTCCAAGATTTAAAAAAATTTTTCTTAAACTTACAGTTAAATTGTGAAAAAATTTTCACTCTGCTTGGTTCAGTTTAACAAACTTGAAAAAAAGCTATACTTACACTGAGAGATACTTTCCATTTACGTGCACAGTGTACGTTTGGCGTTCAGCCGCGTGGTGGCGTGTCGACACCCATCTAGCTGAGTGAATACCGAGCGCTCACTCAGCTTTCAGAGGAACAAATTTCGTTTACTCACAAATCTGAGTGAACGCACTCGACGGGCCGTACGAGTGACTAACCGACACTGAGAATATCATATGTATACATACGTATTTATATGTGCCTAGATATACATGATGTTCATCATTTTAGTTTAAAGGGTGACAGCATTGCTATCGTTACTTGTACAAGAAATTAAATTTAAGTAATAAGTGTAAGACGGAATTTTTTTTTTACAAAACTTTATCTCATCAATAAATCGCTCAATAACTTTTAATATTTTTTAATCCGTCGCACTAGACTTTACAATCGATGCCTAGGGGCAACGTACAAACAATCGACTTTTTTTACAATTATACAGGGATATCGGTCATGCAATTTTTGATAAGAGATAACTTTTTTTCATTTATATTTTTGAAAACGAAATTTAACGAATAAAGTGCCTCATACTGATAGCGCATGGCAATTGTATATATTTTTACGAAATATCATCAACATTTTAACATCTCCTACAATAACTAAGACCGATCTTTTTCAGTTAGAGTTTTATATAAGTGAACACCATAAATTGTATTTAAATTTGTATGACTATTTAAAACCGAAATTTCATCTGCTAATTCATTATATTCGTATAAAATTACAAAATGGTCCTCCGATCAAAATTTCTGGATTGAGATTTGAATCCAAGCACCAAGAGCTAAAAGCAATTGTACAAGCTCAAAGTTCTAGGATAAATATTTTAAAAACTATTGCTACTAGGTATCTCTTAAAGTTAATGAATTGTTCTTTTATATCATACAAAAAAATGAATATCGAATACGGTGCTGTCGTGTCTAATGATATTATTTCTTCTTTTTTTCCTCTTTTTAAAGACAAATTTTGTTTATCTAAAGTACTTATTAATGATGTAACATATAAATTAGGAACTGTAATAGTAGCTTGTATCGGAGAAAATAATCCTGAATTTGGAGAAGTGCAAGAAATTTGCAAAGTTGAAGATGAAATATATTTCTTATACGTTCCATTCAAAATAATTGGCTTCGATACGCATTTTTTTGCTTATAGCGTTTTCAAAAATATAAATCAAAAAAAAGTTATCTCTTATCAAAAATTACATGACCGATATCCTTGTATAATTGTAAAAAAAGTCGATTGTTTGTACGTTGCCCCTAGGCATCGATTGCAAAGTCTAGTGCGACGGATTAAAAAATATTAAAAGTTATTGAACGATTTATTGATGAGATAAAGTTTTGTAAAAAAAAAATTCCGTCTTACACTTATTACTTAAATTTAATTTCTTGTACAAGTAACGGTAGCAATGCTGTCACCCTTCAAACTAAAATGATGAACATCATGTATATCCATGCACATATAAATACGTATGTATACATGTGATATTCTCAGTGTCGGTTAGACACTCGTACGGCCCGTCGAGTGCGTTCACTCAGATTTGTGAGTGAACGAAATTTGTTCCTCTGAAAGCTGAGTGAGCGCTCGGTATTCACTCAGCTAGATGGGTGTCGACACGCCACTACGCGGCTGAACGCCAAACGTACACTGTGCACGTAAATGGAAAGTATCTCTCAGTGTAGTTTTAGTTTGACTGCTTTTTTTGCTCTGCATGAATCAAGTTTATAATATGTCCTAAATAACGATTTTAATTATTTACTTAAGAAAAAAGAAAGAAGAAATATTAAACATTAAATAAATAAGCATTAATCACTTTCAAAATATCTTGTTAATGGCTGCAGAGGTCATAAAATTCTGTAGTAAAGTAACTTAAACATACTCATTGAGCTCTTGTACCACAAACAATTGCCTGATACAATAGCTGTGATAAATGTGTTTTTTAATTTCATTACTTTTTCTGCAATAAACCTGGTAAACTAGATATTTTTATTTATATTCGTTGATTCATTACATTTTTTTGCTATCACTTAGACTACTTATTTGCTATTAGTTAAACTCTAAATTGCGTTTTATTACCATTAGATGTGATGATTTTTTGAAGATCTTATGAATTAGTTGTCAACAGTTTTCGGGATTCTCAAAGTGTAAATTCAATAAGAAACTTATAATGCTTAGCAGCACGGGAGAAAAGGTTCAGATGGCACCCAGTCCAATTTATGTATGAATTTTTAAGAACTTAGAACTGATTTTTACCCATTCACCCAGCTTGATGAAGAAAAATGGAAAAAAATGTTCAAAACTAATCTAATGTATATACATCAATAATGTTTTTATCTGTACTTCTCGCTATCATTCACCAGCTATAAATTACTGAGCTTGATGTCAATATAAAAGCAGCCAGAAGCCAATCGTGCGACATGCGTCCAAGCTGCTGCTGTATTCTTGATGCTCAGTGCATTTTACATCACTTAACTAACTTATTTTATGAATACTAATTTTTACTATTCAAACAGTGGTTTGCTTTGGTAAACATTTGTTAAATCAAGTAGGTTTTGAGTTCTTGGTTTCGTTGTGTTATACTCTGAACTATATGGCAACATAAGAAAAACAACAAGTTTGTTTGAACCTACAAAGAAAGACTGAGCCAAGTAGGGGCTAGTATTTTTACTGTCAGTATCTTGTATTTTTATAACGGGTACAAAAATTTTTGTGATGTTATGCATCGAGTTTTTTTCAAGCTGATGTCTTTGTAGTGAATATTACTAAAAAACGGACTAGAAGCATGGTCTATCGGACGACAAAAGTGGTAGTAAGAATAGTATCACAGAAACAGAACAGCAAGAAGCACTTTCAAAAAAGCTCTACCGCATATATTTACGTACGTTAACAATTGTGCTGTAAATGTGACTTTGCATTTAAGGAATGATGAGATTAACAGTAATAGTGATAAAATAGCATTGGCTTACTGTCTATACAAGTATTTTTTTGCTGTTTACCGATGGGTTGTCTAGTCAGAATTGAAGAGACGTAGCCTGAAACATGATGTGACATGAGTTTCTCATGTAGTCTGATTAAGTGTTATCGATGTGATAATATCATTTCTTGTTTTTACTTTACTTACGCATTGATATCTTAAATAATATTAATAAGAAGATCTACGATTTATAGATAGTAATTTGTTAAGTTTTTATTATGTTTATAGTAGTACATATAGTCATAAAATCAAAATTTGTTGAACAATTCGTGTTGGGGTCACTCCCTCTCAGTTAAGTGTGGTACATTTAAAAAAAAAAAAAAAAATTTTTTTATGACGAAACCCACTATAAAAATATTGCGAGATTAATATCTTACAATAATTTATAAATATAAGTTTATTATTTAGTATTCATAGTTACCACCGAAAAATAAGATGGCATAGTGAGTAGAGTGAGTGCGTAATGCGCCGACCAAGTATAGTCTATAAGCTACTAGAGTTTAACATGATATGGCGTTAGTGTTGAATTCTTGATGGATTTACAAAAATTTTAAGGTGTTACTGACAGTTAGCATTATTTCATAAAATAAAATTTTGTGTTCGTGTTTGAGTATTATATTATATGTAAGAACAAAAAGACTTAAGTAAACACTTAACTTGTCATTGCATCTGAAAAATAACAAATACTAACGTAATAAAACATAAAACATAGTTTAATGTCATTTTGTAAAATTAATTATTTTTAATTTTATAATATTAATTGAAACAAGAAACATGTTATCTCTAAACCAATACTTTATTCATATGCGTAATATTTACATAACTATTTACAAAAAATTAGTAAAATGATAAAAAAGAAAAATATTAGTAATTATTTTACATACATTTTTTAAAAGCATGTGGTTTTCATATACTCTAAAAAAAATTTATAATTCTCATTTAAAAACTTCTTTATTTAATAATTTACACTGTATTCAAGTGATACTTTTTTACGTTATAGAAAATTCAATTTTTCTGTAATTTACACCAGCATAAAAATTTCTTCATAAGGTGAAAAGCAATTTTTTCAAAGGCGAAATTTAACAGCATACATTGGTCTTAAAAACTGTTTCATGATCTAACATTTTTAAGACTATCAATATGTGTTTTGTACTCCATTGTAGCAGTTGGAGGAAGATGTAATATGCGCCGCAAGGTATCTCTGATTCTGGTTGTCGTTGAAAAATCAGACGCTGTTTTATTCCATACACAAATAATGTCCTCCTAAATGTTTGAAAAGAATCATGTTAAAATAATTTTTTCAAACAGATTTCTAATAAATAGCTTTATTTAGTAAAAAGCGAAACGGTACTATTATAAAAAAATTCGTGAATTAGCAATCATACTTTTTGGCTAAGGGAGTTGCGGAAAACTATAAATGTAGACACGTAGGGATGCCTCTTTGATTAGCTAATTTGACAAACCTGTCTGCTGAGTCTCGTATTTTCTGATGCCATAGTGAATTTTATCATTAATTGAGTGATTAATCCTGTTTTTCAGTTTTGACTGCCTAAATTTAGAAAGTGTTATCGGGATAAGTCGGTACTGTAGAGTATGTACATGCTTTTCAACATATTTGATTTCTCCAAATTCTTGCTTTATTTTCCTGTTTTACTTAACTGATTCTAAAGTTACTTAAATCGACTAATTAGATTAAGATGAGAATGAATACCATTCTGGAGGTCATGCGTTCGATTCCGGGTGAATACAGATTAAAAAAAAAAACTAATTATCAGAAAAAGTTCTCATGAAACCCCAGCGGTTTTGGGGTAGGTTTCTCCGTGGAATTTTTTTTTTAGAGTGATTGCAGGATTTTTTCAGTGTTAGGGCCATAGGCAGAGATTAGAAAATCTGATGCCAGGCGCCCGTAGGGATGCTAATCAGCCTAGATCCGATGCTTTGGCAGAGAGCACGGATTTTACCAACGCGCAGTGTAAAGTCCTAAGGTATGAAGTTTTTTTACGGAGAAAGGCTACATAGTAACGAGTAGACCCAACCATTGGAGTAGAGAGTACCAGCTTCATTGGCAAGGTGTTTTACCAGGTATATTACCGCTGTGCTCACTGTCCATGGTATGATAGATATTATATCAGTTAGGTAAGTGGTAAATGGGTGCGGTAATACACACCCACATAAAGGTGGCGAGCGGGTGACCTCAGCGACTAGGCCAGTGAGCTGACACGGTAACCCAGTAAAAAAATTAGATTATGATGTTATTAAATAAATTTTTATAAGTTAAGTTTTCAAATGAATTAAAGAAACATTAATGGTGTAACCGGTGATTAAATACTAGTAGAGCAGAAACAGAAATTCTACTTATGACTGAATGTAGTTAAGAAAGAAATGTTGACTATTTTTTTAACAATTAAATAAAGAAAGGTTTCCTCCAAAATAAAAAAGATGATGTTTTAAGAATAAATAATGTACCAAGACACGATCAACAGTCAATAAAAGTGCGTTTTACAGTTTTACTGATATTCAGAATCTGTGAGCTAAGAAATTAAGCATTCAATCACCACGTACTTTTACAAAAATCTTTACATTGTGTTAGAATGATTCAGTCTCGTAAAAGAGTAGCAACGTAAACTCAATAAGGATTATTCGCTTCGACAAAAATGGCTTATACTGTGAATAAAATCATCATGATTATAAGTTTATTTTAGTATACTGAATCCGATGTTACTACTTACAAGTGAAGCATTTCACACACTTGATTAGAATTGATTAGTCACAGTATAACTTGTTTTGTTTAGACTAAATACATAATCCATGGAGTAAAACTCCATATTAACGGTTGAATCTAACATAGTTAAATCATACAACATAAAATTCTTCACTGTGGACCACTTAAGACTTGCATGCATACAAAGAGAGAAAAAATACGACGAATAGCTAATTATACACCGAGGCAAGTTAAAGGGGGTTATCATGGTACAATATGCGTAAAAAGATTGGTGAGTCAAGATCCGACCTGACTGTACACCCTTTTTTCCCGTAATGATAAACCGTTATCAGTGAATGTACTCGCGCATACGCAGTTCGGGTCTAGTCATTTGTTTGCTTCGTTTTCGTCAAATTTTTGGCAAAATGTACTACTTTACATTACTATACATCTCATGAACTATACAGCTAGACCTTCTGAAATTTGGGACAGTGCTTTTTAATGTAGCCAGCTTTAACATATAATTTATTTACGAAAATTTATCAAAAATTAAACTAGTTGTACGAAAATACATATCTTTGGCAGCGAACTCGCGACGACCTCTCCACAAGGGTCCGTGTATAACAGAAAAACTTTCAGATTTTTTTCTAAAAAACTACAAAGCTAGTTTCACTGAAATTTTAATATGTTAAGTGTAGTGATGAAACAAGTATGTCATATTTTTTTTTTTTAATTCTATAGAAAATGAAATATCACGATAACTCCCTTGAGTAAAGAAAGATCCAGATTTTGTAAGTATTATCACCCCAGGAGAAGCCGAGGGTTATAATCACAAAATCTGCGCATTCCTTACTTCCACCCGTAGTGTGGATATAATTTTACACCTCACTAGGGCCAGAACTAATACGTTACTGCTTATGTAGCGGGCGGTTATGAATCAGTTTCGGGCTAGGTGTGGTATAAAAAAATAAGATGTAGATGTAGGACATTTCACGTCATAGCCAAGGAACAGATGTACGTAAAAAAACCAAAATACAATACATGACAAAAAAATTATAAATAGAATTTATAGCAAAGGCAACTTAGGTATTGAAAAGTAAATGAATGTGAGCACCTCAAATTAGATTGAAAATTTTTACTAAAAATGGTATGATATTTATATTGATTTATAACAAAAATTGTATTCATAACCCAATTATATTGTATAACAAGTATATCTCACTTGTATAGGATTAAATTGTAAATTTAAAATAAAAAACTACGAAACTTATGTAATTTGCTTGAATGATCAGTGTAATGCTGATACCAATTCTACTGTGGTAAAATGGATCAAAAATTTTATTAAAAATATGTTAGAAAAAATATTTACATACGTAAAGGCTATTTTTACATTAGTGCTAATATTTTTTCGCATTCAATAATTCTGACAACTTTCAAATAAATTTTTTCTAACACTTTATGATTGATACTAATATAGATGAAACATTAACATTTTGTATCGAATGGTGCTTCTAAATAATTTTAAAGCATTCTTTCCCTACATTGTTTAGAAAACACTAATAAGAGGTTTTGTACCTGGCAGCGCATGTTTTCAGAATAAGCATCAAGCCCAAAAAATTACTTGTGCATGCTATGATTGGCTGCACACCAGGTGCTATCTCCATTTTTTCTACTAAGAGCGCATTGAAAGTCCAAATTTAAAAGAAAATATCTAAAATATGAAATCGTTGTTTTCGTTATACAAGCGCAATTATCATTGAAGATATTCTAATATTAGAAATAATCTTGTACCAAGCTCTCAGAAACATGAATATGGGAGTAATAATTAACAGACTTGCAAATCCAAACGCGTATCCAAACATTAAGGACGACATAAGATGGAGAAGTTTCTCGAATCAATTGAATTTTAATGTAAGGTGTTCATAACATGGCTAAAAATATACGACGTACAGGAGTAGAACAACGCGCAAAACACATACATGCACAAACATTAGGTGCTCCTCCCTCATCCTAGCTCTTTTGCATGTTGTGGTCTATTAAGTATATAGTACACGCTTTCTGGTTTTTTTCTCATACATTCATTTAAAGTATAGCTTAATAATAATGAGTGTAAAATGTTTCTTAGTCAAAGCCTCACATGAGTGTAATGAAGCATCTATAATGTCCTCATCAAGGGTTAATAATAATATCATAAGCAATTAATAACTGTATTATAAGGGCTTGTTAAAGGTTTACAAAGACTTTGAAACAGACTTCATAAGACCTTAAAATGGCAATATTACGCTCCAAACACGATGGGGGGGGGGGGGGCTTGCTAGTGTAGTAAGCAGGAAGACAAAGTCCTTGTAGTATACATAAAAATACTTGTAATACTGTAACAAGTTTATTCGTTATGTGATTGGTTCAAGATACTGTCCGTGGTTAAGATTCAAATGACATTAGCGGATTGTAAAAATAAAGAATGTGTGAATTATTACTGAATTCGTTTGTTATATTGACAAAATGTTATTTTAATTTTAATTTTATTTAACTATTTTTAGATTGGAAGAAAAGTTCAATGCGAAATATAAAGGACGGTAATAACACTATAGTGTATAGGTTAAGATCGGTACATCGTATTTTTTTAGCAAAATAAAAATAATCGTAATACGAAGTGAAAAAAATTTTAGCAACAAGCAGTCAATACTATTTTTAAGTTGAATAACTACTTATTAAAATATGCATCATTAGTATATACTGTGGACGTATGCACGAAGTGCGCTTGATCTGTCCAGTATTGAAAAATATGTAGCTGATGTTTATAAACAAGTAATTGTCAAAATATATTAAGTGGTGTATCTAAAATATAAAAAAATTAATGCAACATTAAAAAATTAGGTGAGGATACCTCTCTTTGTAAACACTGGAGCTTAGTTCCCTTAAAAATTTTAGATAATGAAATCATATGAAAAAAATTTACATATTGTGAGGTGGTCTAACTCTCAGTCATGTTACGCAGTGACTTGACTGATAATTGTATCAATAAAAAGAAAGGTGTTAAAAGCATTCGTAGAATTTATACTCCTGTTATTTTTAATTTTCAATAATATCGTGTGGGACACTTAAAAACACCTAAGCAGAATTGATAGCATGCTTATGTATCATTACTTTATTACTTATAAGGCTAATTGGTTACGACAGGGAACTTTACATATAAAAATGCAAATCAAATAAATTTTAACCTTATAATGAATCTTAAATAACTTTGCGCAAGTTGGACTTTTATTTAAAACTATGTATTGGCTAAAAAAACACTTAACCTTTGTGTACACGCGTCTTCCTATGTACACAATAGCCACTGTGTTGAGAGTGACTACGAGGGAAAATACACGATAGCAGCAGCGATGGCGGCCATGGCAGAAAAGCGAGAGCTCGCTTTGGTCTCGCGAGTGTTAGTCTCGTGTTGAGCACCTAAGTACGAAATGCGAAAGTTTCGGTAACTTTAGCGATTGTTTTGGAGCATATGATGGGGAAAAATAGATAGAGTAGGTTTTCAAGAAGGTGCGTTGAGTGTTGAGGACGA